AACTAGGTATATAGTATATAATACACTGAAATATAATAAGATGGTTGGTTATTAAGCACCAGGCTTTAAAGGCTTTATCTCTACTCTGCTTCATACCACATACGTGACCTGAAGCAAGTAACTTACTTGCTCTCCCCCCTCTTCCCATAGGGTTGTGGTGAGAATTAAAAGCACCAATATATGTGAAGTGCTTACAACAGTGCCTAGCACTTAATATGCACACCATAAATGTCATCTACTTTAATTACATAATTATTTTTACAGAAAAAGGCATCCCAGCTTAGACCACTCATTACAAATCCTGATAATATTAAAATTTTAATTTACTTTACCAATGTGTTCAAACATTTAGGAAAGTTGAGCTTGTTTATGCTATATCTACCCTATTCACAAGTTCAATTTTCCCCAACCCAGAGTCACTATTAGTTCCTCTTCTGACTCATCACATAGAAAGGTAGACAGTCTGGAACCTACTGGGCATACTGAAAGGAATTTCTTAATCTACCTGGATTTACATGGTTTACTAAGTAAAATTTATCTTACATAATGTTCAATAAATACGCTGAATAATTATGACTTAAAATTGTGCTCACTTAAAAGTGCATTCTATGTATCATATGCTCCTTCAAACTACAGGGTAGGTGTTTAGCCCCATCTTGACAGAAAAACGACATATCACTTAAGTAAAAACAAAGATTCACATTTTCTGACTTCTAGCCAAAAACAGATTTTGCGGGTGGCCTGGTGTTCAAAATTTTGCTAAGCAAACTATAAATTAGAGAGTCAGAAGCAATCTCTGAGCCTACAAATTTGACTCTAATTTCTATTCAGTTCCTTTTACTGTCTTCCCCATTCAGATGTTTAAATTAAGATAACCTCTAATAAAAAGTTATAGAAAAAAACAAAGTTATAGGGCAATAAGCTAAATAATGCAAAGCAGGTTAATTCTTTTTTTAATTTTTTAATTTTTTTTAAATTTTATTTTAAGTAGGCTTCACACTTAATATAGGGCTTGAATTCATGACCCCAAGATTAAGAATTGCACAATCTACCAACGGAGCCAGCCAGGTGCCTCCAGAGTAGGTTAATTCTTAAAAACACTTTTCCCAAAATGCACAAAAAAAACCCACAAAAACATTTAAAATATTGCTCTATCACTTATTCACTTTCCATGTGATCCTGAGTCATTCAAATTCTCCAAGCTTCCATTTTCTCTTCTGGAAATGAGGATAAAAAGGGAAACTATAACTACCACAAGGGATTGCTGTGAGCATTAATTAAACAACACATAAAGCACTCTAGCCAACCACTACGAAAATATTAAGTTTCGACATATATTACCTTTATATTTAAATCAAAACTTTAGTGCCATTTGACCTCAACCTATTGAATTATTATATTTTCTAGGGTAATCAGATCTGTTAACTCTTCTGCAAACCTATTAAATGGCAGTAACTTCATAAGCACTATGAAAACAGGAGTGATACTGCCTAGGAATCCTTCAACAATCCCCCACTCAGGAAATAGGCTGTACTTAACACTGTACTTTACCACAGTTCCCTATATTACTTGAGAGGCCCTTGGACAAGCCTGTGTCCTATTCATTTCTGTATCCCCAGACTGCATGCAGCCCAATAGTTCTTAACCCTGACTCACAGCAGAATCACATGCGAAGTTTATCAAAATATTAATGCCTGGGATCCATCCCAGGCCCATTAAATCAAAAGGGGGTCAGGGAGGGAGAGGGGAAGTATTTTCCATGGGGAGCATTTTTTTAAGATCCTCACATGATTTTAATTAGCTACCACAATTAAGAACCACTGCACTCCGATATTTAAAATATTATACAAACAGGTATATATACATGTATGTGTGAATACATGTATAAGTATATAGCTACAGAAATTTAAGTCTCAGCTCAAGACCCTCACCTTCACTAGCTTCTCACAGCCCAATCATCTCTTTCCTCTAACACAAAATATATATATATATTTTTTTTTAAGATTTTTAAAGTAATCTCCACACCCAACGTGGGCCCTGAACTCACAACCCCAAGATTAAGGGTTGCACGCTCCACCAACTGAATCAGTCAGTTGCCCCTAACCACAAAATATTTCTAATAAACAATTTGCTGTGTTAAGATGGCTTTTCAATTGTTAACTCAGTACTTAAATTTTTTCATATAATTATGCCTTATCCTTCCTCCTGGATTACAGTTCTGCTCCTTGAGAATATACACTACCTTACTCTTCTTGTTTTTTCCAAAGCACTTACAACAGTGCCTTGAACACAGACATGTAATAAACATCTGACAGATCTAATAAACATATACCAAAATTATTGGCAGGAGGTATATTACATCCAAATTATCCAATTTGGGCTACTGCCCAAAAAAATATAAGAATTTAGAAAAAAAAAACATTTTTAAAAAAATCTCTACCTCAGTAAATGAGAACTAAAGTTTGTCTCACTAACGACAACTGAGTATTTGCACTTTTTATTACAGTTATCAGAAGCAGTAACCCCCCCAGCTTCACATCCCCATCTACCACTTTTAGTTTTTGACTTGCTTCCTCACTAAAACTATATTCTGGTTGTTTGTGGTATCTTTAGCTGTTGTCAGGTATCTTTACAACAATTTTATAATACTCTGTAATTAGTAAAATAAGTTAATGAAAGTCACAGTGATGTGTCATGCTACTCTTCTAATATAAACTCGGTTGAGAATATTGCCTGAAAATAAGAGGCTTTCTCAACATTAAATAATAATACAAGTCCACTCTTGAATATTGACAGATTGGTGATTTTGTTTTTATATTTGCAAACCTGAAAATTTTGTAAAATATTATGACTTCTTAAACCAGGAGTACTAAGTTATATTACACAAGAAACTCCACAGCAACTGATATCCTCAATGCTGAAACTACTAAGTGAAATGAATGGCACACAATTCTAAAAAAACAACGTACAACAACCTAAAGATATAAAGATGGCCCACCTTTAAAGTTTTGTGTCATATATTTACCACTATTAAAATAATCTGAACGACTTAAGTTGTTCTTATGAAAATATGAGGAGGCCCTCAAGAAGTATGCCTGCTAATTAGATACTGCGGTAAAACATTACCATGTTTTGTTGCATCCTACAGCAACAGATAGAGCCATAGTTACCACAAAAAGAAAACAGTCCTCAATTCCCTCTTCAATAAAAAAGGTTCAAATTCCACAGACAAAAAAATGGTACCCTGGGTTGTTTGTTTTTAAGGAAGATTAAATTTAGGACTTGCCAACACCCAAACGAAAAACATTCCAGAGTATTAGACTCAATTGTAGTGGGGAGTCATCTACATTCTCAGCACTATGTTCTCTAACCCAAAGCAGGAGGATTAACAAAGGATGTTTCTTAGGACCTCATAAGATACACCACACTTATTTCCCCCAGTAAATATTACCCTTGTTAAAAACAAAAACAAAGAAGGTACTTGAGAAGTAACAATTCTAGCACAAGCAGCCAGACAAAAAATGAAGTTTAACATCTGCCAAGATATTTCCCAAAATAAGACCCCTGTCAGATGAACAATGAGGAAAAGACTGAAAATGACTAATTCTTTTATTTGGACCATCAGCAACTTTTAAAAATAAAGTTGAGGAATGCAGCTTTTCCAAAGCCTTGTCTTTAGTTTCCCTTAAACTTCATATTTTTAACTAAAAAAAAAAAACCTAGAAATTTGATTACCACTCTCATGAATTCCTTTTAAAGCAATTTAATGAATAACAGATCCTTTGTGCAAGTAGCAAACCACAGAGGACAGTTTTGCTGGCTGATAAAAATCTGTCTGAAACATGCATATAAAAATATATCCTTCAAAGACAAACCGTAATTTTCCAGGTATGGAAAACATATTAACACTTAAAAAGTGGGGTATGCTTGACACACACCCTAACTTACTGTGAATGCTTTTACTTGAACCACAATTACAGTTAGTACATTCTTATTAAGTATTTACTGGTTATCAAAGTTGAATAAATTAGAAAGCCACGAGTAAAAAAACTTAAAAAATAAAAAAATAAAACCTAAAGAGCCAATGAGAAAAAGATGCAACTACTTTGGGTGAAACAAGGTTGTGTAATCACTTCCCAAAACCAGTGCGCTTCTATTAAAGTAACCAAAATTGTTTAGGATTTTTTTTTTTTTTTGGAGGGTAGAGATAGGTGCGGTTACACATTAAGTAAAAATGTTTCACCACTCACTCTAATAGGAAGATGCTGCTGCCTGCAGGAATGTTGAGACCTCTCAAAAATACAAAACAAAAACAAAAACCCTACCACAACTGTTTTCCAAAATATACAGAGCCAAATACTTAAATACAAGGAAAGATCGTCTTAAAAAGAATTGTGGATTACTACAACGTTCCTATTGTCCTAATATCACTCAGAATAAAGTGTAAGAGTGTGAGTGTGTGTGTGTGTGTGTGTGTGTGTGTTGGGGAGCGCTGTTCCCAAAAGCTGGTTTATAGACGGAAGTGATATACTAATTTAGATATACTCATCTTGGATACACTGAAAAATAAAGCTGTGTTGCATAGTGCTAAGGCCACGTTTCTTTACAGGTGCTATTAAACACTATCAAGAGAAAAGAGATCAACAATCCAGTAACTTCAGACAGACACGTGGGAAACTAAACTTAGTATGTCGTCATCACCATTAATCAATTTTTCTAACTGGTTAAGCAAAAACAAACAACCCTAGGTGGGCAAGTTTTGGAGCCACCAGTTGTCCTATAAAGAAGGATCCTGAATCTGAGACTTTAGCCAGGAAGCCTGAAAAGCACGTGTCCTACTTTGGGTTTGGGGAACTTCCCAGGAAGCATTTGTTCAGAGTAAAACTCCATCACCCTCTGCGCCTGCCTAACTCGGCGAAAGGATAAGTACTGCCTAGCGTGGGGAAACTCTGCTGCCGGGAGAAGCGGGGAGCTCCCCCCCGCGGCCCCCGCCCGCTCACCTCTGCCGTGGGGATGTTGACCACGCCGGTGGAGCGACGCTTCTCCCGCAGCTTTCTCTTCTCGATCTGCCCCTTGCCTTTCCTGGCACTGGGGCCCGAGCTCTTGCCCTTCTCCGGGGCGCCGTCGCGCTCCTCCTCGTCGCCCCGGGCCGGCGGTGCCCCCGAGGCGGAGACCGCGGCGGCGGCGGCCGTGGGGGGCGGTTCGTCTTCGGGCCGCCGGGGGCCGGGGACGGACCGGGGCAGCGCCGCTGGGCCCACGGCGCAGTTCACGCCCCCAGAGCCGGGGGCTGCAGGTGCGGCCGCGCCGCCCGGGAGGTTGTTGTTGAGCTCGTTGGCCGCGGCGGCGGCCGAGGTGCCCAGAGCCCCCGCTGGGGGCTTCCCAGTCGCGTCGCTGCCGCCCCCGCTCGGAGCGGCCGGGCCCGGGGGGTTCTGCTTGGCACGCATCTTCTCGCGCTTCGCCTTCCACTCCTCCAGGAAGTCTGTGGTGCTGCCGCTGCCGCCGCTGCTGGTCCGGTAGCCACCGGTCGCCATATTCCCAGCGGGACCGGCCGGGCTCTCACCTCAGGCCGCCCCGCCCGGCTCCAGCCGCCGCCGCCTCTGCCTTCCCGAGGCCGGGAGGATGCGAGGGAACGACCCCCGGGGTGCGGGGGCGGCCCGGACTCCCCCGGCGGCCGGCAGCTCTGAGGCGAAACACAAAAGGGGGCGGAGAAGGGAAGCTTTAAGGTCCTCGCCCGGCCGGAGGGCCTGCCCCGCGGCCCGCCTCGGAGCCCCCCGCCCCCGCAGAGCGTGCCGACCAGGCCCCGCTGGCAAGTGGCTGCTGAGTCCCCACCCTGCAAAGTTTCTCCGTCGCACCTACACGGCGGGCCTGGACGATCGCCGCCCCTCGAGGGGAGGAGAAAAGGGCTTGTCCCCACCCCCCGGCCCGCCCGCCCCATCCCCACCGGGGTCTGCGCCTGCGGCGGTCGGGGGACCAGGGCCAGACCCCGCCACCTGTCGACCCGTCGCATCTCCTGCCCCTCGCTCCGGCCCCCGTCGGCCCAAGGTCCCCGCCACCAACACCTTCATTCCTGGGTAAGCCGCGAAGCCCCTAGGCGGCTCGCTGAAGAGGCGGGACGCGTACAGACACCAGCTGTCCAGCCGCGTCGGGAGGACGGGTGCGCGGGTCGAGCGCGGGCGGCCGGAGCAGCCCCTTACCTGAGAGGTGTCTTGGAGGGCCAGGCGCGGGTCTGCGAGTCGGCGCCCAGGTGAACCCACGCGGCGGCGCGGAAGGAGCTGCAGCAAACTCGCGGCCGGAGCTCAAGGCTCCGCCGGGCCAGGAGGGAGGGAAAGAGGGAGGGAGCGAGGGGCGGGAGGGGAGCCGAGCGGCGCCGAAGCGCGGGCGGAAAGGGCCGAGACGGCGAGCGAGGGGCGCGGCGCGCCGTGGGGGGGGAGGGTCGTGCCCGCCGACGCCCCGCCCCCGGCTCTCAGGTGCGCGCCGCCTGGTCCAGCCCGCCGCTGCAGCCCGCCCCGCGCGCGCCAGTCCCACCGCACTTTCCTGGGCTCGCGGCCCCACAGCGGCGGGGCCCGCGGCAACTCTGACTCCGAGCGGGGCAGCCCTCCACGCCCTTCACCCCGCTCCTGTTCTCCGCCTCTTCGTCTCCCACCGCTCTTCCTTCTAAGTACAAGACATATTCTTCGAGGGAAAATCTCGATTGCTGCTGGCCGAGGGGGAAAATGCAATGAAGTTGTGATGATTCAGACCTGACTGGCCAGGATGGGAAGAACTCGCGCGTCACTTTTCCTGGTCGCTGCCCCCTTTTCAGATGTACTAGGGTGGCAGACAGAAGAGCTGAAGAAAAAAAACCGAACCAAACCCAGACGCTTCTGAGAAAAGCCTGTGGTTTCTGGGTGAAAGGGTGGGCTGAAAGAAGGAGGGGCTTATCAGTGAACTATCAAGGGTTTACTATTTTAGGCTTGCAAGAGAAAACTAAAAACTCATTTTGACAGTGTATTGCATTGGCATCCCAATCCTATTTGGAATTGTCCTTTTAACCCTGTCTCTACACCTCTACTTTACAGAGTGAATTTAGCAGTAAAGCTCCCTACCAAGACACCAAAGCTGTGTTGATGCTGATTTGATGCGACCTGGGGCGGTGATTGACTCTCTTTTTCTGTCCTTAAACGTGTCATAGGGTATATCTTATCCTCAGATGCAAGTCATCTAACATTTCTGGATCAGGGCTGGGTGAACTGCCACCGTCATGCACCTGAAGAGACAAACCTCACTATATTACAAGTGGTGCCGGGGCACATCATGGTCACAGGCTACAATTGCCAGGTCACCACTTTGTAAAAAAAAAAAAAAAAAAAAGTAGGCGAGCCCTGAGTCACACTCTTACCTAACATAAATCTTTCTACCTGCTTAGTATTCCTGTTTTGCCCAGGTGGCACATGGTGGGTGAGCAGTCAGTGTGTGCCTGCCACAAGAATGAGATTGGGAGAAAGTGATTCACATGCTATTTATTTCTCCGAGGGAAAGTCACACAGTTCCCGTCTTGGGTCTGGCTGTTGGGGTGAACGTGTGGGTAGCAGGGAGGGAGCTCTGGAAAAATCCTTAGAAAATTAAAGGCCTTCCTTGGGAACTGGTTTCAAAGGCTGAGCCTAGCTGGTACCATCCTGGGTGTGCCACCTGAAATTCCTCAATTACAGACTCACTAGAGTGTTTTGTTTTCTGAGTTTTAAGGGGGTAGTAGGAGGGTTAGGCATTAAATAGATTCACATCAATGCTTTGTAACTTACCAAAGGATTTTCACCTGGAGGGGCTGCAGGGTACAGTGGAAAGAGGATACAGTGTGCCTGAATACAAGTTCATAAGTAGCTGAGAGATCTCCCGGGTGTTTAAATTCTCTGAAACTCAGCTTTCTTTACTATCAAATCAGCAACAACAGCATATATTTTTAAGCTATCATAAGAATCGACACTGTGTGCTTGGTTCAAGGAAGACACTCAGTAAATAATCCTTTTATTAATAGGATATCAAACAGTTTTTGGTCTCTAAGAAGTTGGGGAGGGGTGTGGAGGGGGAGAAGGCAGGCCAAACAGTAAAGGTACTGAATATACAATATTAATTTGAAAATTATAGACAGAATGAACTAGAATAACGCTTACGTCACAGAAATTTATCACTGCACTTTTGGACTAGTTCTCAGTATTCATAGGCTCTGACTCAGGAATTGGCTACTACTGACTCCCATGGCTTTGGGCAAGTTGCTTAACTTTGGGGCCTCTGTTTACTTACATATAAAATGGGGATAATGATACTTCCTACATTGTGAGAGTGTTGTGAAGGTGCCTGAGATCCTTGGATAAAAGGTAGTATATGAGAACCAGAGTAGTTATTATTAGTCTATAAATGCCCTAGGAACTATGGATGAAAGAGATTATTGAGGTACAAAGCACTGTGTATTATTATTGTTATCATTTATTACACCTTTTGTCTTTGCCTTACCATTCTCATTTCCAAAGATGTATTTCACAGCCAGACTGCTTCCAGCACTGCACCAAGATATTTAGCTGAGTCAGTCCTAAATTACAAAATGTTTGTGTATCATCAATCTTTATGTTTAGCATTCTGATGAAATAATCCTCAAAGACTCAGAGCATTGTTTCTCAACCATGGCACTGTTGACATTGGGGACTTGGTAATTCTTGGGGGTTTGTCCTGTCCATTGTAGGATGCTTAGCAGCATCCTTGACTTGTAGACACTAGATATCAGTAGTTGCCCCCAACCCCCAATTGTGACTTTGCCAAATGTTCCCTGGAGGGAAAAATCTTCCCCAGTTGAGAACTGAGCTAGCCCTAAAATAACTAATTTCGGTGATACACTTGCCCTTAAATAATAAAGGGAAATATGATGATGCTAACAAAGAGATTCTTGTAATATATCTGAATGAAACTCATTCTAAATGTTAAGTCTTCATGTTTTCGAGGCAGTGGATTAGCTATGATGCGAAATAGCTGATTTGCATGTGTTGAAATAATTAATAGGGTATTGAGGAATAGCTATTGTGCCTTCAATGCAAATATTTCTGGAACATATGCAATTCACCCTCTAAAATCAAAATAATACATGTACATAGTCTTAGAAGGTAAATACTTTAGTTCTGCAAGGATTATTACAAAAGACAATAATCCCCTGCCTAGCCTTCCCACTCCCAGAACCCTACCCAAAATTTTAAATTTTTATATCTATTTCTGCTAATATAAATCATCATATTAATTTTAATAGCCTTAGCACCTTCTTGATTTCTTCATTTTTAGACATACTTTTTTGACTTTCTAATAGAGAAAAAGAAAATGTAGCTCTCTTATACTAACTACACATATACTTTTCTTATTCCTAAACTCCTGCTGTATTTATATTACAATTTTATTAAATAAACATTTAATGTTTGTTGTGTTAAGACTATGCAAATATTGTTCACAGCTGAGCCATGCAGTGTACTATGATTGCATTTTTACAACTTTTGTCTTTTTACACAATTATTTATTTTTCTTCCGCAGGTAAAACTTGCGATTTTAAAAATCATTTCATCATATTCCCTATAGCAGTCACAAATTGAAACCCAAACTTTCCTCCTCCCAGTGTAATTAATCATATCAGGTAACCTATCAGTTCCATTTCTTTTTCTTGGAGATATCTCTCTCAGAGTCCTCCATCCCCGGGTGTGATCTGGGTTGATTTTAAGACTCATGGCTCTGTGGTCATCCTAGGATTATGTTTCCCTAACATCCTGGGAATCATTTCCTATGCAAACCTCCTGTTTCCTGAATCCCATATTGTCCTCTTTCCTTTTTTCCCCCATCATTTCAGTGGAGTACATCTTCAGTTTATTCTGGAGATAGGATTTCATATTCTTGAAGACCTTGTGTGTTGGAAAACATTTTTAATTTATCTTCACACTCAACAGTTTGGTGGGGCATGGAACTCTAGGTTAGAAATCATTTTCCTTCATAATGTTAAAGGTGTCGTGTGGTACCTGGTGGCTCAATTGGTTGGACATCCAACTCTTGATTTTGGCTCAGGTCATGATCTCAGGGTTGTGAGATGGAGTCCTGTGCAGGGCTCCATGTTCAGCAGGGAGTCTGCACTAGATTCTCTCCCTCTCCCTCTGCCCCCCCCCACACACACACTCTGTCTCTTTCTCTCTTAACAAAAAAGAAAAAAAAAGATCACTATATTGTCTTCTAGTTTCCAGAGTTGATGCTGAGAAGACCAATGGCATTCTGATTCCTTTGTATTTTCTCTCTGGAAGTTTCTGGAACGTCTTCCCCAGATCTTCTGGAATATCTTGGATTTACCCTGATTTAGCCTTTTTTCATTATTATATTGGCACTCAGTGGGCCCTTTCAGTCGGCCATCTGCCCTTTAGCTGGGAAACTTCTTTATCCTATACTTTTGGTAATTCTTCTCTTCAATTTTCTCTGTTCTCTCTAGAACTTCTGTTAAATAAATGTTGGACTTCTAAACATTCTCCAGTGTTTAATCTTTTCTCTCCTAGTTTCCATCTCTTTGACATGTTTTTCTACTTTCAGTGAAATTTTCTTCATCTTTTTTTTTAAGATTTTATTCATTTATTTGACAGAAAGAGAGCTCAAGTAGGCAGAGTGGCAGGCGGAGGGAGAGGGAGAAGCAGGCTCTCCACTGA